TTTTTTTTTTTTTTTGAATGGTGATCTGTTATGACTTCACTTCTCCCTCTTTCCGATGTTTACTATATCCCTCAACTATCTCTGAATTTGATTTCTATCAGTCAACTTTATAATCTTGGTTACGTTGTTCAATTTTTCTCCACTGAACTAGTTGTATTGTGCTGGATGCTCATTTTAAGATGCTGATTGAGATAGACAGAAGGGTTGGAGAATTATATGTGCCGGAAAAATTGCATGTTCCAATTGTGGCTACTTCTTCTAGTGATTTGTCTTCCTTTCGTTTGAACCCTATGTCTTCTGTGTTTTATTTACGGCATTCTCGTCTCTGACATATTTCTAGTTCTCGTTTGAAGTTTTAGTTTCTGCTAGTGCGTTTTGAAATTTAAGACCGAGTGTTGTGGTTGTAAACTTGCCAAATTCACAGTTTTGCCTTTTAAGAATAGTTTCACTTCCTCTATTACTCCTTCTGACATTGTGCATTCTAAGGTGTGGACTCGTGCCCCCATTGCCACCAAAAAGGGTTCTCAATACTTTGTTTCTTTTGCCGATGATTCTACTCAATATTGTTAGGTTTATCTCAAGAAGCAACGATCTGAGTTTTTCTCCATCTTTGCTGTTTTTCGGTCCATGGTTCACACAAAATATTCTGCAATAATTAAATATTTTCATTGTGATATGGAAAGGGAATGTAGACATACTAATTTTCTTGATTTATTGAAATCTTATAGAACTATTCAATAATCCTCTTATGCAGACACTCGAGCAAAATGACATGGTTGAACGAAAGCATAGACACATTATGAAAACATGTTTATTGTTTCTATCTGCATCTATTAACATCTCTTTTTGGGGAGAGATAATTCTCACAGTTGTTCATCTCATTAACTGAATTCCTTCTATTATTACTTTGAGTTTTTCCCTTTTGCAAGGTTATATGGTAAACCTCATGACTACTTCTCATTCCTTGTATTTGATTGCACTTGTTTTGTTCTTTTTCCTAAATCTGAATGAGATAAACTATCTGCTCGTTCTACTATGTGTTTTTCTTGGCTATGGTATGGAACAAAAACGGTATTGCTATTATGACCCTGTTGCAAAAAGATTATATGTATCTAGACGTGTGGTTTTACTAAAGCATTTCCTTTCTTTCGTATTCCTTCCGCGTCTAATACATTTAATAAATCTGATCTAATTTATATTCCTAATGATCTTTCTCATGATTCTTATATTCGTAAAGTTGAATGATAAAATTGAAACTAGGGTTTATGAGGGAAATAAGAACGGAGTGAGAGAGAAAAATAGATTGAGAGGAATAATAAGTTGTGTAGGCTATATTTTCCTACACTCTTATTTATAGTAAACTGATATTACGAGAATTACAATATCTACTAATAATATAAATAAGAATTTGAACACTCTCCCACAAACTCAAGCATAAATATAAAAAATGTCCAACTTAGAACAAATATTATTGAAGACAAATTGAGTCAATGATTTTATAAAGATGTCACCCAGTTGATTACTACACTTGATGTATGATGTGATAATCTCTTTATGCATCAAGAGAGCTTAAATAAAATGATAATCCACTTCAATTTGTTTAGTCCATCTATGAAATATCTTATTAGTGGCAATGAANCAAATAAAATGACAATCCACTTCAATTTGTTTAGTCCATCTATGAAATATCGTATTAGTGGCAATGAAAATAACCGCTTGATTGTCACACTGTATCTCATATGCAGTACGAGCCATGGCTTGCTATTTAGCTTCTGCACTCAAACGTGCAACCACATTTTATTCTTGCTACATCAAGTAACAAGATTACCACTGATAAATGTACAATAACCTAAAGCAGATTGTCTATCAGCACGACTACCTACCTAGTCAACATAAAAAATTCAGTAACAATCATAGAGGATGGATGACAATATAATAATCCTTTACTCGGTGCTCGAGAAACTGAAGAATACGACAAATAGCCTCCTAATGAAGCTTACAAGGAGCATGCATGAATTGATTAACCAAACTAACACCATAGGTAATATTAGGGCGTGTAATTGTAAGGTAAATCAGATTATCAACCAACCTTCGATAATAACCTACACCATCAAAAATTTCACTACTATCAGCATCCAACTTAACCGCAGAACAGTTGTATCCTCCCAACTTACACTTCTTCATGTCTACTATATTCCTCAGCTTTAAATTTAATCTCAGTTCCTCAGTTGTTTGATTCGAGATTTTTAGTTCACTTTTCTTCTACTTGTTGTGTTGTGCAGAATCCACGGTCCAAAAAGCTGATTGAGGCAAGTCATAGAAATGGAGGGATGTATGTGTTGGATGAGCTTCATGTTCCTAAAGTTGATGTATCTACTATTGATT